TAACCGACACTTTTACACGAGATCTCACGATTTCTAGATCCTCGAAAGTTGGCCGTTTCCAATGAAGGGCCTATCCTTCCACTCAGGAAGGATTAATTTGAACGGAAGAGGAGGAGTTAGAAAGGTTAAATATAAGGTTAATAACAGGCAAAAATAGGGGTATTCCTTCCCTCCTTTAACTCGTCACAAAAAGGATTCGATTAAATAAAACTTATCCCTTTGTTCGTTCCCAGTGTTGGCAGTGGCACCACCGTTAGGTAAGAAAATTCCCGCTTATCGACCCCCTTCGTAACGCGACGACCTCCGACCGAGTTTTGCCGGCTGGTCGAAACAGCCACCTGGTAAATTCCCGTGTAGAAAGCTGTGTTGCCGACGAGAGAAAAGGCTCGGGTCGATAAGAAAAGCGGAGCAGTGCTGGCGGGGCTATTCTAAGAGCTCCACCCTGAGAATACGCAGCGCTGGAGAAGCGAAACGCGGCTGCTAACTTTAGCATCGGATCTTCGTTCCGATGCTAGACGCTAATAGGAACGTTGAATCGCGATCGGCAAACCACTAACGCCACTATTTCTGGACCGCCAACTTTTTTGCGCTCCACAACAACCTCGTAACCGGTCGCCTAATAATGTCTTCGTCCCACCTAAGGGATACCTAACCATTTGCTCCACTTCTAATTTATCTTGTTTGGGAAGGGAGGAGGAGACAACGCGTATTTACTCTTCTCCCCCGTTGCAAGTGCTGGGTTAACGATGTTAATGGGAGTGGGGGTTAAATGGAACGAATGTAACGAATGTCGAAAAGTAAGAGGAATCTACGGGGGTCTAAAGGAAGATCGATGGAGATCGGAAGGAGAGAAAAAAGTTATGGTCGACTAAAAAATGCCGGATATCGACGATAAAATGGTGTTGATTCCCGTGGAAACGTGGATGTCGAGACGAAGTCGATCGGGGAATTCTCTGAAATTTTCCTCGCGCAACTGTATCCGATCATCTGGATTAGCCTTTAATATTGGCCTCGGTGCTTGGCGTGCAGCCAGATTGAATATAATTGATATCGATTCGCGTCGTGACGTCGTGCATCCCCTCCATCTTACGTTTTTTAACATTAATTCCGATAAACGGGTTAACTTGCAATTTGTAATCGACTCGTCGAGAACACGTTGCCTCGTTCTGCTCGCGTCTTTCATTTTACGGGAAAATCTTCTCTTCTTATTTATTAATTAATAATAATAATACATTTATATAAGAACATTTATATTATATTTACGTAGAGAACCGATCGATCCTCGTTCCAATCAATTTGAATTTTCGAAAAACAAAATATTTCGCGCAGAATTTCAGTGCAAAAAAATATGTGCAGCGTCGAATACATCGAATTTTTCGAGGCTCTTCGGGACGCGAATTCGCCCGTTTAAATTTATCCGAACGTGTCGACGTATTAATAAATAAATGATAGATCACGAGGCGACGAACAGAGAACGAATACGTACGAATACCTTCTAAATCGGGAACGATAATTAAAGACGCGGAAAAATAACAATGGCAGGAACCGATGGTCCACTTTCACCGTCCCCTATTGATTTTCGATACGGAGGGGGGACAGGAAATTGAATAGGAATTTCCATCGATCTCCGTCGAAACGACAAAATGCATATTAATGCTGACGTTAAACAGAAGGCTTTATTAAATGGCGCTCGTTACACGGCCCTCGTCAATCCCCCGGCTACAAAACGGGACAATTGGAAATTAGAAATCAAATCCGGTATTGTCGCGGCTAATTTAGAGTGAACGACGTCCGAGCAGGGAATTCTGGCCTGCGCCAGTTGACTACGAGCCTAGGGGAGAATTTAATAACAACCATGATGAACCGTACCGATGATCAACCCTTTTCCCTACCCATAATACAACATTCCTCGTCATCGGATTGATTCTCCATCTTATTAAGATCCATTTTTCGATCTTTCGAAGATTTGCGATTTAAATTTACGTCAAGGTCCTCTTTTGTCTCCTCTCGCTCGCAAAATGCACGTATAATCTCCCTCCCTCTCTCTCTCTCTCTCTCTCTCTCTCTCTCTCTTCGTCTCACGATCGAAATCGAAATTTCGTTCGAAAGATGGCTCAATTCGAAATCCGCTTCTCCAACACGCGCCAGTGTCCAGGAACGAGCACGCACGCGTGCGTGGATTCTAAAAGTGCCGGTGTGTGTTTCTTGCGTGGATCTTTGGTCGAAAACGTACCGGCGGAAATCGAAGGTCTCCGTCTAAGTATAGAACCCGGCTCGCTAGCGTAAGTCTGCCCACTGACGTCGAAAAGTGTCGGTCGTACCCTGGACCGACCGATTCCAGAGAGCACGGTGTGCGTAGTCAGTATCTCGTGGACCGAGATCGCGTCTTAGTCTTTTCGACTTTCCAATTTTTTTACAATCGTTCTCTTTTTTAACTTCTTTTCACTTTCTTTTTCTCTTTCTTTCTTTCTTTCGCGCCGACGCCTACGGTTTCGAGGGAATAGCGGCGAGTGTTCATGAATGGATCGATGGGAGAGTAGCTCGCGAGTGTGTCGCGTGTGAATACGGCATTTTGTGCACGTTTTTTAAAGTTTTCTTCGTTCGAGGAAAGAAGGGAAAAACTTTCGAGGCGAAAGTTTCTTCTTCGGCGAAGAAGGCGACGCGGAGTTTCGTCGATAATAGGGATTTTCATTTTTTTTTTTTCCTTTCCTTTTCTTTTCTTTTCTTTTTTCCTTTATTCCTCCTCACCTCCTCCCTGCATCCCTCCGTTTTTATCGTTCGACGAGGAGAGGAGTACTCGGATTTATTTTATGCCGACGCTTTGAAACTTCGTAGGAAGAAGGAGAGAGTTTACCGTATAATTCTCTGGGTACGTATGTTCCAAGTAAACTCTATACCGTTGATCCGAGCTTCTGTTATTGCTCCGTTATTTAAAGAAGTGTTTCCGACGAGAATAGACTAGTCAGAGGAAGAATAATTTTTTTGAAAAAAGAGCAATTGAATTTTCGTACATATACCGATGAACGTTTTTAGCTGACGAATAAAGAAAAACTTGAATCGGACCAAGTTAGCTTTCGATTTCGAAAGAATTTGAGAAAATCCCAATTGACAAACAACAAAACAAACCACGCACCAATCACCGCGATAATAAAACAGAAATATCCCGTTTCACGTGTTCGATGCATCGAGCCAAACAAAATATGAATACCAAGTAAATGAGCATTTGGATCGTGACTCGTTGAAACGACGCCCACAATTTCACATCGGTTTCGAAGTAGACAAAGGAAAAGGCTGAATCAGCTCGTGACGCCGCATTTGATTCTCGCTTGGCGCGAAAATAATAATAACGCGGTGCCACGTGCCACCTCTGTGCGAGTCATTTTCTCGACGAGTCATCAAGAGCAGAGTGGAAAATCTCTCCTTTGCTCTCCCGTTATTCCTCCCCTCCTTCCCCAAAAAAAGAGAAAAAGAAGAAAAGAAAGAAAGAATGTCGAGCCACGAATCTCTCTAACGAGAGAGGGAGACGACAGAACGATTCGGCAACGGATATCTTCGAATATACGCGCAAGTACTCGCTCATTCTTTGTTCCACCCCCACGCAACTCCTCGTATTTTTCACCGAATTTTCCCGTGAGCCACGCGCACAACGATGCCTCGTTGCTTCTTCGTCGAACAAACGCGATTGCCAAAAATATCATTTTTCGCTTCGGATTCGAACCGATCGAGGAGACGTCCGCTGTGAAACAACGAGTCGAATCAGATCTCATCATTTTCTCGAGGAAAAGTACGAGGGGGTAGAGAACGTGCGAGAAGTTTCATCGTAACGTGCGAAGGTAACAACTAGCGTCAAAATAGACAGAAATTCGTGGAAGCCGAAGCTAAGTCGTCGAGGCTTCCGCGGCTAAGCGTGTCAGGATTAACCCCCCGCTCCTTGCTCACCCTCGTTCCATCGGGAAAGTTGCTAATACGACACAGCGCTACCCGCCTGTTGCACCCCCTCGTTGCAATTCGCTTTTAAGATCAACAAGTGGTTCGTCTAAGTGTAACAACGCTTTCTAATGTACGGCCCGCCTCTGTTTCGTGGTGAGCAGTTTCGCGAAAGAGAGAGGGCTTTGGGTCGGTCCTTGGCACGGCCTTCCACGTTTAACCACGAGTATCTTCGACGTTGCGAAAGAACGCGGAATGGGATTTGGCTCCGATGGTCGGCTACGCGCCTTCGAACCGAACGCTTTCGAATAATACTTCGATGCTTCCACGATTTTAAATTTAACCCCGTCCGCGTTTCGTCGGATGCTTCTTCCTCGCATGATCGGAGGACAAGCCAGATCGAATATTATCTTCTCTAAACGAGCGAGTGATGGTCGTCCATGAAAACAAGAGATCCATTCGAATCGATATTTCGAACGAAGTTTAATGGACGGACGAGTGTCACTGTGAACGAACACTGGATGATACATATCTGCGTTATTTTGCTTGGCTCGAGGTTTCGTTTACGTTTTCGCAAAATGAAATCGTTCCGAAATCATTCGTATCTTCCATCGATCAGAAGGGAGGGGCGAGGGGATTCGTTAATTTGGCTTCTTTCGAGTCCACGATCCCTCGAGGCCGTAAATCGATCGAGGCAATTTTGTAACGATCCCGGTTTACACGAAATGGTGGGTTCGGTGCCAAGCGGATCCAATTGCAGGATCGAGGCCGATTTCAGGCCGATTCGTAAAAGTTGACAGGGACGCCCAAGTTGTTCCCTCGGGCGACAACTTGGATGATGCATACCCATCGTGTCTCGAAATAGAAGAGGCGAACGACACTGAAAGAACTTGACATTGTCTCGTTGGCCGCGACGAATTAAGGGGAGAGGAGGGGTAGAAAAAACGCGAGAGACCTAAACGTCGAGGAATTTGATTAGAGATGGAAGGGTGAAAGGAAATTGGTTAGGGGAGAGGGGTGGGTCTTCCTTAAGCCGAGCTCCAGATGCTGGTCGAATCGAGAAGAAGAAGAAGAAGAAGAAGAAGAAGAAGAAGAAGAAAAATATTTGTCGGAGTGAATGTAATATCGGTCTGGGGCGCGACACGATGAATAACGACTTGGCACAATGGAGATCTCGAATTGCAACAGGCCGTGAATTACACCGTTTGAACTATTTATTAGCTGTGACGGAGGATGAGACTTTGTATTTCGAGGAGTGGCGCAAGGGATTTTTTTTTCTTTTGCGGGGAAATTGGTCGAAACCTGTGACTAAAACTCGAGTCTCCCTTTTTTGATATAATAACGAGGATCACCCGTACTCGTTTTACACGTGTACATTTAACGAGATGAGGATTTTTAACGAGAGAGGAGGTACGACAAGAGGTAACTCGGAATAAAACTCGTTTTTCTTTTCTCTTTTTTTCATGCTCCCTCAGGCATGGAGCAGTTCGAACAACTGCTAACGTGCGCGATATGCCTGGACCGGTACAGGAACCCCAAGTTATTGCCATGTCAGCACAGCTTCTGCATGGAACCGTGTATGGATGGCCTCGTTGACTACGTGCGTCGACAGGTGAAATGCCCGGAATGCCGTGCGGAGCATCGTATACCCTACCAGGTGAGATATTCAATCCGGATCTTCCCTTTTTTCCAATTTCTTCGTATTAAAAAAAAAAAAAAAAATTCGTCGAGCGGCGTCGAGCGGTTTCGTCGCAGAATCGGGGAAAAAAAAAAAAAAAAGAAACAAAGAAAAAAGACGTATTCAAATTCATGAAAGGAAAAAAAAAATCAGCGATGATCTCTGAAATAATAAAAAAAATGTATAAAATTAAATAAAATAAACGAAAAGATTTCCAATCCAATTCGCGTGGCCTCGTCTTTATTCAACGACGGATCTGCACGTTGCGATCCCTCGTTAAATTGGATAAAAATTTCGCACAGTTTCTCCAACGACGCCTCTCGACGCAAACCATTTGTCTTCCTATCCTCGTGTATCGGTGTAAAAAAAAGCGTGGGCCGACGATTCGACATCAAACGTAACTCGGTTGTCCTTAATTAAAAGCGGCGACGCGAACGACAAACGTTGGATAAAGGTTGGGGGGAGAAGGGAAGGAGAGAAGGGGAAAAAGGAAGGAAGGAAGGAAAGAAGGAAGGAAGAGGGTTGAAACGGAGGAATGCAATTGGAAACGACCCCTCTCTCTCTCTCTCTCTCTCTCTCTCTCTCTCTCTCTCTCTCTCTCTCTCTNTCTCTCTCTCTCTCTCTCTCTCTCCTTCTATGAAATTCAATTTCAGGTAAAAGCCGTGCACGCGCCCCGAGATCAAAGTCCCTGCCGTTTGGAATTTCTTTCGTTCTTTCCGTTTCCGAAGGAGAATCATGATTATTCGATTAAAAGAGAGGGGGAGGAGTTGTCTTGTTAACCCGTTCTCGTGTGTTAATATCGCGTAGGGTGTTCAAGCGTTCCCGACCAACGTTACCCTGCAACGATTCCTGGAGCTGCACATCGAGATCACAGGAGAGTTGCCGGACCCGACCAGCGGCCAGACGATGGAACGTTGCGGCGTTTGCTCCGAGAAAAGCTACTGCAGCCTCTGCGTCCACTGCGAGAAAAAATGTTGCCCCGAGTGCAAGGACGCTCACATGGACATCCTGAGGCGTGAAATAACGCGCATCAATTCCCAGGTAAGCGAGGATCTGGTCCTGATTTCGCCGTTTCTTTCTCGAAATCAAGAAAATCTCGAAAGGGGAAAAAACGGCTCGAGATTAAAAACGATTCGTTTTCATCTGTGATGAAAATCTATTTTCGATGTGTTCGGGAACGAGCTCTTATCTTTTAGGTGTAAAACGAAAAGGAGGGGGGAAGTGGACGTGGAAATATCGACTTATCAAGAAGAAAACGCGGATTTCACGGTTGGACTATTCCTCGCCTTTCGTTCGTTTCTTCTAATTTCCCGACTCTCCCGCCGATTAAAAACCCTCTCGAGGATTAAACGGCAATCCGAACCGAGGTGTAATAATCTCCGCGATCATCGTCGATGGGGATTAAAAACAGATTCGAGCAGAGTAGACTCGTGGATCGAGTTGCTCTCTATTAAGAATTCGAAGGGATTGGGAGGGAACGAAATTGGAGGGATGGAAATCCCCGAATTGTCTCCAAAAAACGCTAAGCCCCGGGAATGATTCGCGTCTATCTCCAGCGTCTAGCGAATAAACTCGGTTGCCTCGATCGTCTTTGAGACAGAGGAGAGTTTACGATCGGGTATCGACAGCTCGTGGATATTGCTCTTTGGAAGGAGGGGGGCAGAAAAAAAGAAGGAAAGAGCATTCGTGCCTGAAATTCGAGATCGTCCAATCAAAAAGTTCTTGGAGACGATTCACGATTCGATTTGCCCTGCCCGGCTAAAAAATTCCTCCCCTACGTTTTTCCTACGTGTCACTTTCGTTCCCTCCCCTACATCGCGAACACCGTGATTTCATCGATTTGCGATTCTTCTTTTCTTCCATATTTTCTTCCTAATTTCGATCGAAAATCTTCGTGATCGAACGTTTGGAGAAAAAAGAAAAAACAAAAAGAAAGAAAGAGAAAAAGAAAATCGTGAGTCGAATTAAATTTTAAAGGAAAAAAAGTAAAATATGATATCTGGGTGAAATTGAAAATATACGTTGAAACGTTAAAAATATACCTTGATCGGTGGTAATACGTTTTCCTTGAATTGGCCTACGATGTTGCCACAGGGATAATAAAAGCAAACGAAGTAAAATGCCCCGTTGATAGCGATGGATATCCCAAGTCCTATCAATTGCGTGTTCTTCCATACCAGTTGAGTAAAGTTGCACACACCGTTCAAACCTTTTGCATCGTCATCTCCATATTTGTAGTAATCACCCTCTCGATACCTAGATTAAATCGTTACCCATTTCGATTTAACCATCGTCGTAAATTTAGAAAAAGAAAAAAAAAAAAAAAGAAAAAGATAATTCTTGTTCGAGATACATAAATTTAACCAACCAAGATTCCAATGGATCCTTCGGTTTGATATCGTAAGGCAAATTCCTCCACGGGGATATGTATATGTTTTCGCCGTATTTCGGGTCCGATTTGTACTGAAGAATACCCTTCCTCGCTAGTCTCTCCGCCCATTCTTGTGCCAACTCGTTCAACTTGAAAAGAATATTCCAGTCGTTAACGATTATGGAATATTCGCCTCGAGTTCCATTCCGGTTTACATTTCAACCTCGTTGAAATTTATCCGCTACGAATCGGAATCTCGTCGCGGATTTATAATAAAAATCTACAATGACGGTTTCGCGGGGAAAACGGACGGTGTTCAATATTTCATTTCAACGAAACCAAGCCCGTTTAAAGCGTTGCGAGACGAATATTTCTCGAGGAAATAAGAGGAAACCCGTGTATACCTCGTCGTCGATTTTTAACGGAGGGGAATTGTGAATAGCTCGATATTTATTATGCAGTTTAAGGAAATCTTCAACGAAATTCGGTGGGAAATTTCTGAAAAAAAAAAAGAAAGGAGGAGACGTTACGGTTATTATTCACACAAAAAAAATGGATACTCGTAATACGAGAGGGGATTCGAATAAATTCTCACTCCATTTTTAATATGTGAAAAAACTTCAAGATTCGGAAAACATGGTGATGAAGAATGGTCAATAGTCACGACGAAAATATCGAAATTGTTGTGGTTGGAGGGTCATTTCTTCTTGCAGAATTTTAAATTAATAATTTTTAGAAAAAGAAAAAAAAGTATGGTTACATGTTTGCGAATTCACGGTGAACGATTTAGGTTATGGGAATTTTTTGACAAATGAGCGAACAATCGCGAAACCAGAAACGTTTTTTTCTCGAGCCCCTACCTTGGCAACACGATCAACGACGAAAAACTTCCAAAGTACTTCTCGATTTCTGCTTCTGCAACGCTTCGAACGATGCTATTCGGCGTAAATTACGCTGATCGATCTTGAAATTTTTAAAATAGTCACGGAAATATGGAAAGCGAACTGCGTATCAACTCGTTTCGAATGAACACTGACGAATTCAGGTCAACATAACCGCGTATACTACGTATAACTAACGCGCTATGTATGCGCAATCCGAAAATATCCGATCGGTATATTTGCCCTCTCCTAATGTTTCCAAAACAAACGGCTTCCTTTCGCGATACGAATTCCTAGTTTAAATGGGAACGCGACGCGACACGAAACACACGCGTTATCGTAATCGTGTTCGAATACGAGAGAAGCGTGGTTTTTATCGCGGCAACGTTTTCTCTTAATTAAAATTCATTTCTTTTTTTTTTTTTTTTTTTTTACCATTCTTCGTTTATCGTTTAATTAAAAAATATCAAAATTATAATTCCATTCTAAAAAATTTTTCTTTTTTATCTCCCCAAATATTTTCAAATATTTATTATAATCCGAAAGAAATTTTTTTTTTACCATTTTTCGTTTATCGATTAATTAAAAATCAAAATTATATAAAATCCTATTCCAAAAGATTTTTATCTTTTTTACTTTCCGAAATATTTTCAAACATTTATTATAAATCAAAACGAATTTTTTTTTACCATTCTTCGTTTATCGATTAATTAAAAATCAAAATTATATAAAATCCCATTCAAAAAGATTTTTATCTTTTTTATCTCCCCAAATATTTTCAAATATTTATTATAATCCGAAACGAATTTCTTTTTTTATCATTCTTCGATTTTTTATCGATTTATTAAAAATCAAAATTATAATTCAAAAAGATTTTTATCTTTTTTATCTCTCTAAATATTTTCAAATATTTATTATAATCTGAAAGGAATTCTTTTTTACCATTCTTCGTTTATCGATTAATTAAAAATTAAAATTATATAAAATCCCATTTCAAAAGATCTTTATCTTTTTTATCTTCCCAAATATTTTCAAATATTTATTATAATCCGAAACGAATCTTTTTTTTTATCATTCTTCGTCCATTGATTAATTAAAAATCAAAATTATAATTCCATTCTAAAAGATCTTTATCTTTTTTACCTCCTCAAATATTTTTAAATATTCATTATAATCCGAAAAGAATTTTTCTTTTACCATTCTTTCTTTATCGATTAATTAAAAATCAAAATTATATAAAATCCCATTCCAAAAGATCTTTTTTACTTCCTCAAATATTTTTAAATATTTATTATAATCCGAAAAGAATTTTTCTTTTACCATTTTTCGTTTATCAATTAATTAAAAATTAAAATTATATAAAATCCCATTCTAAAAGATCTTTATCTTTTTTACCTCCTCAAATATTTTTAAATATTTATTACAATCCGAAAGGAATTTTTTTTTTTACCATTCTTCGTTTATCGATTAATTAAAAATCAAAATTATAATTCCAGTCTAAAAGATCTTTATCTTTTTTACCTTCCGAAATATTTTCAAACATTTATTATAATCCGAAACGAATTGGACGACAGGATTATTATTTTATCCAAAGAGACGCGATATAACGCTTTTTAAATCCGAAAATCCAGCGAAATGTATGATTTTCAGAATGGGAGGGAGGGAAATGCGGAGGAACATTAAATATATACGTTGGATTAAAAACAAATGTTATTTTTGCAGATTCGCAGGGGGCTGCACAGGTTGCAAGACGCGCTCACCCTGGTGGAGAAAAACACATTGGGTCTACAAACAAACTGCGCCTCGGTCACGGAAGAGGTGGACGAGATTTATCGGAGGCTGAGCAAGGCTTTGAAAGACCGTACGGAACATCTGCGTAACGAGGTCGATCGATACCTGAGCACCGAGCTCAGAGGCTTGATTCAACTCAAAGAGAATCTCGAATTGGAAATCGCGAATATTCAAAGTAACTGCGATTTGGCGGAGGCTCACATCAACGAGAACGTGCCCTGGGACGACTCGGAACTCCTCGATACAAAAGAACTCTTCCTGCGTACGGTGGAATTCATCAGGTTTGTCGTCTAATCTCATCGTTTTCTTTTATGCCTGCCCATTACATTCGAATCGCTCCGTTGCATCGCGAAATATCTCTCAATTTTCATATTTTCTGGATAATTTAATCGGGTACAATCGAATATCTTCTTCTTCTTCTTCTTCTTCTTCTTCGTTTTTTAAAAAATATTCGAATCTTCGAGGGAAAATACTTGAAAATTTGTAGATTTGTAGACAGAGATAACGATTTCCTTTACGATATAAACTATACTTAAATTTGATACATGGAAAATCAATTTCCGAAAAAGTAGAAGATCTCCAAGTATCTCGTTTCTCGTGCTTCGTCGAGCATAGAATTTAATGTCAAAACAGATCGGAATCTCGAAAATTACGGCTTTCTCGTTTCTCCTCCTCCGCGAGAGAGAGAGAGAGAGAGAAAATAAACCATCCGTATCTCGCTCTCTCAACATTCAATTAAGAATTTCACGCCAGACCCAATAAGTTTTCTGGATAATCAAAATGTTCGAGACGTTGTCTCGTCCGTGCTCTCCCTCTCCCCATAAATTTGCAAATCTCATAGTTTTCTTTCATAAAAATAAAAGTGTAATCACGGGAAGTTGAAACGTAATTCGCGTTAAGGGCGACAAATCATCACTCGTCGTCTTATCTTCCCCCCTTCTTTTCTTAAATTTTTCTTCATTCAACAATCTCGTACAATCTCCACGCGATGAATTTGAAAATTCGCCAGCTGGGAGTAGTAAAAGTGTATTTATTAGTCCCCGGATGGATTTAACGGGTAAAGGAAGCTCGGGTATAGAAATATGAAGTGAAATAGCAGCGTGGAAAGTAACGGGCTTTTAAAAACTTTACATTAAAAGTAATCGTTCAACGATTCGGACGATCCTTTGAAAACGATCTTTCCGTTTTTTAACAGGCCAATTTATAGATTAAATATTAAAACTTGGTCAAATCTCGTACAAGGTTGCGATTCGACGAATAAAATTCCTTCGCTCGATTCGTTTCCTTTAAAGAATCGAAGAGTTTTAATTCTTCGAGCGAGATCGAAGATAACAGTGGTCGGAAAATATAAGTCGAAAAATAAATAAAAGCAATTTTACGAGGGATACACCGTCGTTTCTTTTTCTCCTTTTTTTCCAAATTGTTTCTCCGATATTTCAACTTTTCCATCGGAAAAGATGGACATAGATTCGAAACGCAAGACGCACAACAATTTCGGATAACTTTTACGCTCGATCTTCCATCAAGCCGCACAACGTAAATGGAATCTTCCTTTCCTTAACTTCTTTCTCGAAACTCTGCTTACATCTCAACTTTGCCCGCGACACGCCACCATTACTAAAACCTGCACCTCTCGGTTTTAAACGATCCCCCCTATTTCAACCTTGGTTATTATTCTCGTGGAGGGAAACCATCGAATAACCCGTGGAGCAAGGAAAAGCTTCTCCGCGAAATATTTAACATCTTCCCTCCTCTCGATAACGTGACAAATCGGCGGCGTACGAAAAAAAAGAAAGAAAAAAAAGTACAAGGAAGAACGAAAAAAAAGAGATGGATCAACTTTTCCATACAAAATTCAAAGGTTATATCCGAGCAGAGGTGAAGTGTCATTAAGATTGCAAAACTTGCTGATCCTTTTTAAGGAAGAAAGAGGATTTACATTTTTAATGAAATATAAAAAAAAAAAGAAATCTCCTCTCTTCTTACATACATATTCTCTTACATACATATAGTCGAAAGAAAGTTCGCGGGATTTCATTTTTGATAAGAATAGTTTTCTTTTCTTCGACGAGGGGAGGGAAGGGGAGGAAGAGAATCCAATTCAGGGGAGAGAGAAAATTTTTCCAAATTGCTTGGAATGATGCATGGTATAGCGTCACAATCAGGCCGATAAGATACAAAAGATACTTGGATAATTTACTTGGTTTAAAGCTAATTTGCATGTTGGTTGGTTGGCAGGAACTTCGAGTACGAAGCCGGGGATTACAGTCGGCGGGTGCGTTTCGTGATGGCACACGATCCGAATCAGCTGGTCCTACACGTAGCCGGTTACGGTGAATTGAATATCAAGCCGGAGGCCGGAAGTGGAGGATTGCTGGGTAGTTCGAGCAGTCTGGCACCTCCGGGGGGATCACCGGGTCTGATGAGAAGCAAAAGCGACCATCGTTTGGCCTCGCAATACAGGCAGCAAGAGGAGGAGCGGCTGTCGAGAAATCGATACGTCCCCGAATACGAGTAATTATCCCTTCTACTAGTTTTCGCCTCCTTGTTTATTTATCTCTCCAACAACAAAGAGAGAAAAATTCCACTTTGTCTATCCGCTCCATTATTCTGGACTGTAGAACAGATCCCTCTCCTTGTTTCCGACTTCTTTGCGTAATGGAGCTCGATTTTTCCAAATAGAAACGCTATATATATATATGTATATATGTATATAGTTCGAAGAAAAATTGCTTTTCCACTTTTTTTTTTTTTTTTCGTTAACTCTTCTTTCGCCGCGATGCACGGAAAGTACGGATGGAAAGTCTACTTCACGTATATATTCCAAAGAGTTATTCTCAAGTTTAAGGGAAAATGTATCGCTTAAGAGTTATGACCGTTTTCAACGTCGTGCTAGACGTTGTCGGGCCTACTGTTTATGGAACAGCTGATGACACACGTTCGAAAAAGTGTAGGCCAGCTTAGAAACGTCTCAAATCTTGGTCCAGACCAAGCTAGATAGACTAAGGTACTCGAATCTGGGAGAAAGTGTATCGGTGTATCTCTGAGAAGAGAGAACGAAGAAAAGAGGGGGGGGAGGGGGAAAGAAAAGAGGTATTTGGTCGGTAAAAAACTAGCTGACCGGTAAAAAAAACGTGTTTGACCGTGGACGTAGATTACTTTGGAATATTGCCAAACGGCGTCCGTGGTGGGCATACATTTTTCACGATGTCCCACATATCTATTCTAGCAAATGTTATAAATACACGAGCCTCCACTGGCTGTATCTTTTTCCTGGCGTGGGCCGGGAACAACTTCCTCGAGGCCGAAATAGGCATGGTCGAGTTTAATTACCGTTTCGTTTCGTGTAATACGCGCGCGGATCGTTTTATTAAGTCGAAATGTAAATGGGAAAAAAAAAAAAAAAAAAAAGAAAAGAGAAGAAAACATTTCAGACACGATATTAACGATAATTATCGGGAATCGAGGGTAGGAAGAAGGCGCGGAGGGTGGATTATTAAAGGATTCGTTTCTTTCGTGACGATTGTCGCTAATACGATAGTCCTTCTGACTGATAATCGGGGATAATTAGTCGAAACGGTGGCGTGCAAATTCGTCGGTGCCACGTTCGTGCATCGTTCAGAATTTGCGGCACCGAGTATTCGCGCTTTTGTTTGTTTCCCAAACTAACTTGGGGAACGAGCGAATTTTACTTACGTTCGAAGCTGATTTATGGAGTAAAAGCATCGAAAATCTAAATTTACCGATTCATTCGTCGTAGAAATTTGGATATTAATAGTTGGGAATACGAATAGTCGGCGTTATATAGAATAGAATGGAAGCTCGAATCGTTGGAAATTATTTTATTTTTATTGCCGTTTCCGCTTCGGGGAAGAAAATTGCGTCAAACGTTCATTTCCATTGAATGATCCTTTTCACTGAAACGAGGGAGATTCTTAGATAGAAGTGAAAAAAATATAGAACAAATTGGTTCGAATAGAAATTTCAAATTCGACGCGATAAAATTGATATTCTTCCGACTAGCACGAACGAGACCAATCTTATCGTCACCGTAGAAGAAGATCGTTCTTCTTCGTTCTCTCTCGTTATGCAAACCCATGTCATGCGAAACGATAATTAAGCGATAAACTTGGATAAACTCTTGGATCAATCTCTTGCCGTGCATTCCCTCGAAAATCAGATAACCCAGTTCCAGAAAATCGTGCGAAAGGAATGGTTCTCCTCACTCGTGCCAAAAATTTCATTCAAACAGAGATTAATCGTTAAAAGATAAAAATAGCTGTCGTTTCGAAAGATTATAATGGTTGTTAAAGGGGGGCATTAAAAATTCATCGGGCATTAACTACGGTACGTCTCTTCCTCTTTTCTCCTCCTCTCTACAAATATCTCTTCTACAACTGGATCGTTGTAATATCGCTTAAAAAAAAAAAAAAAAAAAGGAAAAAAAAGCTTGGCTATCCGTTACATCTGTAAAATATATTGGTGACACGCGTCACTCGAGATCGTCGAGGAAGGACGCCTGATCGCGAAACAGCGCGTTTAAATTGTCAGATTACATCGGTTCGATTGAAATGGACGTTCTAGAGAAATCGTTATCGAGAGAGGAGAACGATATTGGATCATCTCCATCCTCTTTCAATCCTTCCTCGTCCACCACGCTCGCCAAATTAATTCTAGCGAATAAAAATTTTTTCGTCCGTGCATTTCGTTTGCGTTGAAAAATCTTTCGCGCCCGATATTTCTAAAATTTAAAAAAAAAAAAAAAAAAGAAAAGGAAGAAAAACACGATGAAGCACAATAAAAATTATTATCGTGGTATATACGACAGGTACGACGCGCCTGAATATGAGGTACCGAGGAACAAATCGAGGTACAGAAGTCGATTCATGCGGCATCGGGATGGCGACGACTCCGATGGCGATTCGAGGTCTACCGTACGATTCACATCTACCCCCCAGGAATCGTCGGGACTTCGCGAACGCGTTCTGGACACGGAGGACGCGGCACGTGGCCCGCTTTCCGGCATTTTTCGACTCACCGACTCCCCCCGTGTGATGAGAAAGCTTCAAGAATACGAGAGGGCCGGGAAAAGGAAGAAGGAGGAACCACCGCCCCATCCTGTTCAACAACCTCAACCGCCTAAGCCTCAGGTTAATTGAACGATAAGACAATTTCACCCTTCGTTATACTCGATACATGATCGCGAACGGATCTTCAACGAGAACTATTTTTTTCTTTTTTTTTCGATGAAACATTCATTATTCTCTATTCTGTTCCATTCTGATTTCGAATAAGAGAAAAGAAAAAGAGAAAAAAAGGAAAAAAAGTATACACGTGCATTGTTTCTCCGTTATATCGCACGCGAATTTAATTTGAAAAATCCAAGCCTCTATTCAATCGAAGCTTCTATTCCATTCACTTTGTACAGTTTGAACGATGACGGTTCATCGATTTCTCGGTCAACTTCACATTCCATTCTTTCAAACTTTATTCTCTATATTTTTTACATACGGTTTTTTTTTCCGTTGAAAAGAAATCAAAAGAAATCGTACGCCGAGATATTAAAAGATGTCATCAAAATTGCCATCAAAGTTTATATAATTATTCGGATTATTTAGAGATTCTCTGTTCGTCGCGTTCGCGCTCCTTTTTCTCGAAATTCATCGAATTCCATTTATAAATTGAATCGTAGATTCTGGATTCTGGATTCGCTTCATTTCACACGGACGTATTTGTTTTTGACAGTGATTCCGCACCACAGAATTTTCACACGGATTCCCTTATTATGGCAAGCGATATACAGGAATGGATCGTGAGGGGCAGTTCGATGGGCAAGCTCGACGAAAGTAGCCTCGAAATCTCGCGTTATGTCGCTTGGATGCGATTCACGCGGGAGTAAATTTTCGATAATTCAATGCGTACATGCGTATGAGTCGCACGAAAAAAAGAAAAAAAAAGAAAAACGTATCGTTCCCTTTATGGACATGAAAAGGAAATAAATCTCGACGAATTTTTAAAGTAATTCAATATTTCACACGGAAAAAAACAGCTATACGTGTGCCGCAATATGAAATGTATACTTGATCTCTCGATTCATAAATATGTAAATAATTCGAGGCACGAATGAATAAATCTACTTTGTAGTTTAGCTGTTGTACATATGTATATATGTGTATATATATATATATATACTATAAATATTTTTGTACGAAATTCTATTATAACACGAATGAAACGTATGAATACACGAATATATTTTGCTCGTCAAGAAAACAAAAAATTAATCTCTCGTGTTCACTTGCGACAAATCCTCTCTTTGTCCTGTAACCATACGTCTATTCGTTCTGTACCGCGCTTTTTATTTACGAGCGTAAAATCAGACTAGCATTTTAATGCATCTCGCGCCATGTTACCGCATGTGTAGCAAAAAGAAAGAAAAAAAAAAAAAACACGCACGGTCAGAATAGAAAAAAAAAATCTCGACTTGTTTACAAGCAACCTAATAATAACCAGCGTATAATTCATCCTCTAACACGTTTGGTATCAAAAAGAGAGAAAAAGAAAGAAAGAAAGAAAAGAAATAAAAAGAGAAAAAGAAGAGAATAAGAAGAAATGAAAAAGTGAGGAAAAAAAGGATTAACATAAGAATGAGGATGAATTTTTGTTTCGACGGACTCGTTAAATATATCTTTTTATCGCCTAGGTGCAAGTGAGAAAAATGCCGACAGCAATGGCGAGGCAAACCAGCGAGGACGACGAGATTTCTAGAATTAAAAAGCAGAATAAAACGGCGGCCACGACCGAAACAGTGGAAGAACGACAACCGGTACCGACGTCTACGCCCGCACACCCACCCCCGAGGGAAGCACCCCCCGAACGAGAGCCCGAAGAACCTGCACGAAGACCGATGCCTGCCAGGTAAATTGATTTCAAAAATTATGTCCGATCAATCACCGTACGCTCTTAAATTTCCTCTCGTATCTTCGAATCGAATCGAATTTCCATTCCACGTTCAAACGTTCTTCTTCGATCTCCCTTTATTAATGCGGTAAGCACCGGCGTGACAATTTAGGCGTCCGTGACTGATGGCAAAATATACAACGCGATCGAATTCACCGCAACACCGAGTTAACATTAAGTCACAAGAGGATCTTGGCTCGTGGTTAGATAGGTTCACGTTTCAGTAGTAGTGACGCATATCTAGTCGGACAAGCTGATTTATGTCTATTCGGTGTAGCAACTGATCGAGTATACCCGGTTCTAGAAATTGTTTCTACCTCGCGTGTAATATAATATTGCACGATAATTGTTGGATCGATAGCATTAGCGAAATATAGCGAAATTTCATTCGAACAAGCATCAATCATACATCATATCGCATACATCGAATGATTTTTTAATTTTAAAACACTCATCGTTCCGTTATTGCGAGTTTAGTTGTGCAATATTTTTTTTTTCTTTTCTTTAACTCGTGAAAGTTTGTTATTTCGATCTTGTTTTCTCCTTCTTTTTTTTTTTTTTTTTTCTTTCTTTCATTCTCTCTTTCAGCAACGTCAAATATTTCATCCGTGAATTGTCGTGAAATTGTAACGTCGAGTGTTTCGGTAAAACTTTAAATGCACGCAACAAAAGTTTTTTAATTCCGAAATTCCATTCCATTCCAATTGTATCGCGGCCGTCAATTTAAAATTACGTCTGGAAATTCGTAAATTTCGCCTGCAAATTAACGAACAGAGTCAACACGTGTGCACACGTTAATACGATTTCAATTCGAGCGCGCGTTGCGAATTCCATCTCTCTCTCTCTCTCTCTCTTTGTCTCTCTTCCTCTCTCCGTTGGAAATTCACGTGCGATAATATTGATGGAGGAAAATGGGTGAATCGTGGCTGCATAATTCCTTATTGGGAAGGAAAGGGGGTCGCGATGTAAACCAATAATATCATCGGTAGAAATTACGGTTTACGAATAGATACGCCGCTGGATCGAGTTTACCGACCCGGGAGGGAAGTCGTTAATTGAGATATGGTTGCTCGCAGGAGAACATCGACGGATACCCACGCCCCCGCAACGAGAAGCGCTTCATCAGACTCGAGCACGGGGTCGGAGAGCTCGGCTGGGTCCGGAATCCGCAGCACGGGTGCGCCGTTCACCGCCGAGGAAATGAAGCAGAAATACTTGTCGAGGGCACCGGCGTCGAGCGCAGCATCCACCGTCTCGTCGCCGCATAGCGGCACACCCCCGACTCCCAAAGACACCGCCAGCCCCACCTCGCGCTCCTTTCAGAGTCGTTTTTTAGCTACAGGTGAAGAATCGTCCCTTCTTATCTCTGCGCGGAAACGAAAATAATTTCCCCCTCCTCTTCGAGAAAGATCATCGTTTTTCGAATTCGTTTTCGATCCGAGAACGTCTCCCCTTTTTCTTGAACGACTTTTTTTTCCCCTTCGAATTTCGAGGGGAGATCGATCGATATTTATTGTTGCTCCTCTTCAGGTAATCGTGCAGCGCCCCCACCACCTACCCAACCCCCTTCGGTACGAGAGGAGAGCGGCATAAAGACGAAGAAGGAAGAAGAGGAGGACGAGGACGAGGAAACTAGCAGCTCCTCGGAGGAGACGGAATCCGAGACCGAGGAGGAATCGGAAACCGATGCTCATCCCTCGGGCACCGGTACCTCGACGACACCATCCTCGACCGCGGCGCAGGACCACCGTCAAAGGAACGATTCCGCGATGGCGAGGACGGACATCGGACCCCTTCTGGCTCGAAGCGCGGAGGCCAGACGAGGCAGCAAGGAGGACTCGCCAACGACCAGGCAAGTATAACATATATTTCCTTCCGCAATTCATTTGATCTCGTAGATTTTTATTAACAAGTAACATCGGTGTACGAATGTATGTTCATTATAATACCATGTCGGTCGTTAGGTGTGTTAATCGAACGATGAAATAACTTTCTTTTTTTTTCTTTTTCTTTTTCCTTGTTGCGTGACGAAAAGGATATTTAAGAAAGCGTGTCGATCGTCTTTTTTTTTCTCCGTTGTGGAGGGAAGAAAGGAAGAAAGAAGGGGGGGAAAAATGAGCGTGATGCGACAATTTCGAGATGGAAAATTCGACGCGATGAACGACGCGGCGAGTTTCCTCGCGGATCGCGTCGATGAGCGGAATTGGCCGCTAATTTCCACGATTGATCTCGAATTCGTCTCGAAGCGCGAGAAATTCCAATTTGCGAATGTAAAAAAAAAAAGAAAAAAAATTAAGAAAAGATAGAATCGGTTTTGTGCGCGATCGGAGTACTTTGCGAGTATTTTGGCGACGCGAAGGGCGACGCGAAGAGATCGCGAAACTGGATTAAACTAGAATATCGAGGGATGAATATCGTGTCTCAGGTATTCGTCGCCGAGAGGGAGTCCCGCGCATTCGGTGACGGGGCCGGTGACAGCGACGACGACGACGATGACGACAGCAACGAGCGGCGCCGCGAGCTTGACAACGCCGGCCGGCTACACCAGCAGGTTCGTAGCACACGTAGATCACGGTCAGACTCATCAGGCCAGTCTTTCTAATTCCAATAACCCCCACGACCGTAATCGTTTTAGGACGTTTCTTAGTGACGAACACGATGAACCGTCAACCGACCGTGTCGAGGATTACGAATACGCGGCTAAGAGCGCGGATTACGATATTCACGGTGCGGACGGATCGATGGTTAAACCGCAGTCGAACAAACGAAACCACACGGACGATAGTACGGACACCGACGAAACAATCACCTCATCCTCCTCCTCCTCCGCGACCACTGTTCGATTCGAGAGTCTCGAAGGTAGCGGTTACGACAGTCGTGTAGAGAACCGCACCGGGGTCGAGCAACACCCGTTAATGGAAGGTCGTTCGGGGAACGACGTGAACTCTTCGTTAACCGTCGATCGTTGGATCGGCGATCCTGGCCGATGGGCATCGTTCGCCCGACCACCCGCCAACCGAGACGACGGCCATCATCGGCCGGACGAGATTACGAATTCGGCCGCCCCTTCCATCCACGACGTGACGACTGATTCGGGAGGGGGGAGCGAGAGCACGGAGGGCAGCGTCGAGAGCGACGAGGAAGGAGAGGGCGACGAATCCAGGGACGAGAACAGCAACGTAAGGGATAAAAAGAATCTCGATCGAGAGGATCACGATTCCAGCGGGGACGAGTCGACCGACCACCACCGGAGTACCGATCGAACACCGTCCAATTCTCATTTCGACAACAGTTACGGAGGATACGACGATGTCGGGGTGAAGCGGCCAAGTTCCTCCATACCGGGGGAGAAAAGTATCGAGGAGTTGTTCGACGACAACGGATGGGTGATTACGGATCAGGATCTCCAGCCGGGGAGCCCGCAAACGGTCTCGAAAAGTTTTCAACGGCCTATCTCGAACGAGGAGAAACGCGACGCCTCTGGAAATTATCTCTCGACCGAGGAGAAGGTTGGAGGTAGCGAGGATCGAACGATCTCGAACGAGGTCGAAACGAGTGGAAACGCGGAATCCGTTGTCTCGGAATCCTCGCGGACTTTGTCGAGGAGTCGAGGATACGTCGGGGAAAGCAGCATCGGGAAGAACGGTTGGATGATGTCCGATGAATCCGAGAGCGAGTCGGAGAGGACCGTTTCGCCGATGGATTCGAGGAACTCAACGGGGAATCGAGATGGTGGTTGGGAGAGGAGCAACGGCGCGCGGAGAAACGAAACGGCGAGTGTCGACGAGGGCGATGAGAGATCGAATCGCGACGGTCCATCATCGATGGCGGAGGAGAGCGGTGGGAAAGATGGGATCGGGGCGGAGAACTCGTGGACCGGCGACGAGAACGGGTGGGTGATTCTGAACAAGGTGAACGACTCGTCGAACGGGAAAGAGGGGGAAAGCATGGACGAGACGAGCACGATTCGTTCCCAAACGACCGACCTCGTGGCGAGAACTAACGTTGAGAACGGTGCATTAGTCGCGAACGCTACCCAATCCAAAGAGACCGAAAGTTGCAACGAGCACGAGGACACGCCTGGTGTCGATATCACTGTACCGATGCAAATGGTAACCACCGTTTTCTGTGTGTCCGTACTGTGTTACAGCGTTCTAATCAATCTGTTCCTGTAACCTCTTCTACTACACGTGGGCCCCCCCCTCTTTCTTTTTTCGCCCATCATCTTTTACGTATTTACACTCGTTCTCGCCTTCTTCTTTTCTTTTTGTTCGTCGGTGTTAGTCGTAAAAAAAGACTGCAATTGACCGCTCTCACGGATACAGACGAGACTGCCTCCGATACCGAGATCCGATGCAGCAGTTTCTATTACTTTTCTTCTCTTTTCTTTCCTTTTTTCCATTTTCCTTTTCGTTTTTTCGTTATTTTTATCCCCGCGTTCGTTCGCTTCGTTCGGTTTTTGTCGTGTTGCTCGTGCCAAGAATGGCTCGTGGAACGTTTCGTTCCCAAGCATGAAAGGAGAAACACACCGATACCAAGCGTATCGAGCGTACAGTAGTGGTAAGAAAGAATGGAATTCCTCGGACGCTTTCCACCGGAAACTTTCGTTTACCCGCATCTCGGTCGTCTTACATCGGGAAACTGCTGCCCCCGGATCTTTTTCTTCTCTAACGATTTCCATGAATCGATATCCATCGATCCATCATACACGCATACGTACATACACGCATACATACGTCGCAAAAAATTCGAGGAATGAAAATGATTTAAGAGAGAAACGGAGTGGTAGAATTAATTTCGATTTCGCGATAATTACTGTATGGTGAAAATCTTGCATTTTATTACATTGTGATAATCGTACGTACGATCGTAAATGTAAACTTTTTGTTCCTTGATCGTTGATCGTTATAATCTCCCTGCATTGCTCAATACACGTAGCTTCTTAGACAACGCGAATCAAAGGGGAATAAAAGAAAGAAGGAAAAAAAAAAAAAAAAAAAGGGAATAGTATCGCTTTAATCGGCAAAAAAACTAAGCGTAGTAGTAAAAGATACCGTCCTCCGTGCAAAGCAGCTTAAATCCATGCCGAATTGAATCGCTTTTGAATCGTTCCCATCGATATATACGGTCGCGCTAATGGCATGTCACACACGGTACGATTCTCACGTTTTTATTATTGGTGACCAGCCATTCTCGCTACACCGTTGCATTTTCACGTCATTGAAATTTTTGTACTCTTTTTCCTAGTGAATAGGTTTGCGTCAGTTTGTTGGTGTGGTAAATAAACTGCATTTCTTTGTGATAACTCGTATTATTTATTTCCCTCTCAATTTGTCCTCAGTTTATATTAAGAATTGAGAAACGGAGAACAAGAAACGGAGAGATGTATCGTATCCCGCCTGAGAATTTTCTCTTTTTTTTTTCTTTCTTTCTTTCTTTCTTTCTTTCTTTATTCTCCCTTTATCGTTCATTTATTATATTATCCGTTATTCGTCTCTCTTGTTTGTCTCGATTCTTCTTCTTTTTTTTTTTTTTTTATATTTTTATTCGATTTTATTTTCGTTCGTTTCTTTTACCACCCCCACTTTTTCCACGAATCTTTGTTATTTCGTATCCTCTTGTTTGTATATTCGTCGCCCGCCCACTTCCTTTGAAAAAAAATACGTGAAAAAAAATGCATCTTTATTTATTGCACTAACAGGTCGAAAGTTCGCGAAGAATCGATATCACGATCGCGAAATTCCTCTCGCCCCATTGGTTCAACACGCACCCCCGCCGTGAATTTCCACGAAGGAGCAGCTCGGGTTTCCTTTCCATATATTTAATTTTTTTAATTTATTTTCAATACCCACTCCCCTCTCTACCCCCCTCGAACTCTGTTGCACCGCACGTCGAGATGAACGCACGAATCATACCACGAATTCACAACAACGCACTCGTCGCAATCTCGTACAATTATGGGAGGAGAAGGTAAAAAAAGAATAGAACAGGGGAGTCACAGCCATGATGACATCCAAGGTATCGCACGTGTATGACGAAGAAAAATTCCAACTTGGAAAAAAAAGAAAGAAAAAAAGAAAAAGAGGCAGAAAATAATTTTAAAAGAACTTCGAAGAACTCGAAACGTGACATCGACGCAAAAATTTAACGAGAACGCGAGTTTGAAATTCGTAAAGCTTCTTCAAAATTTGATCAAATTATTCCCGAGTTTCGATTTGCCCCTAATAACGATACATTTTATCGATAATTAAATACACGCGTAATCCCCGAAATCGCAAATGCAAATGAGAGAGGGATACACCGGCAGATATTACAAACGGAACTAATGTGACCGCATTGTACGGGACACGGAAAGTGGTCAGGCATGCACTAAAGGGTTTAAATATAACCCGTTTGTTGCTTTAAATATCCGCTACAACTCGGATAGTCAGCGGGGCTATATCGGTCTGTAATCCGCTTGACTGGAAACACGGATGTTATTCCAATATCGTTTTATCGTTTTCAACGTCCATTAAAACCATGATGGTAAGGTGTCATTCCAAATTTTAAAACGGACGGCACGAAAAATTCTCGTCGAGAAATTGTATGTGTATATATATATATATATATATATATATATATATATATGTTTCAAAATGAAAACATCGATAAGCAACTTTGGAAAATTGGATGCAACTCGGGAGCATCGACGAGCAAAGTTAGAAGATCGAGAAAATATAGCGGTCTTAAAATTTTACGACTATCGTTTGCAATAACTCCGGTGTGCCCATATTTGCCGCGTATATATATTAAAAAAAGAAAGGTTTTATCGTGGTCGAAAGTTGTGCTCGAACGAAAGGAGAGGGGTTCTGAGAAATGCCAAATACAAACAGTTCGACGAAGAAGGAAAAGAATTATTTTTCGAACACGGAAATTTATTTAAGAGACGTTCGATTAAAAAAAATTATTGGAAATTCACACTCGTAAAATCTCGAAAAATCGTTTCTTTTTATACGTTCTCGCGCGAATTCGAAAGCGATTGATATCCCGATCAATCAAAACAAAAAAAAACAAAAAAGAGAGAGAAATCTATCAATTAAAAGCAACGAACTTTCGATAACCCACGAAATAAAATTGCTTACAATGCAGGGATCCGCGTTCGCTCGCCATTCTACACGATTTATTACGTCCTGGTGATAAAGAAATGACATATCAAGTACTACAGATTGATGTACTAACACACGATAGCCATACCCCCATCCATTTTCACTACTCGTACACCATAGAAACACGCCAGTTGATTACACGCCAGATTTACACCACGTTGTGACTAATTGCCACTATGTATCCCACTATACACGGAATGGTACTAAACTAACACTTGGAGGAATATAATAGCGAGAAAATGTAGCACGGTATATATATATATATATATATATATATATGTAACGAGAGAATAGGACGTACGTATGGTTATCAACGAATACGAATATGATAGGAAGATCGTCCACGATAGAATACGAAATTATCATCCCCAACGAGACGTGTGTATACCTGTACATCTCGTAAAACGGTATCGTCCATCAAAGATTCATGCCTCGTCACGTCAACTATCATCGCACGCATACACAACTTAACAAGTTAGCTTAACAGCTTCGAGAATTTGAAGAGATTCGAAAGCTTCAGTTTTCTGCACTTAGCTCGAGATAAAATAACCCAATAATAACGCGTATAATCGATCGCATGTAACAACGCGAACCATTCATTCATAGTAAAATGATCGATAACCCCCGACCGTGTATCCACCTATCGATATGGCCTGTCCATGTTTTTTTTCCCCTCCCCCGCCTATATCCCCAATTTAACAGTAACAGGCTTCTCTTTCTCTCTCTCTCTCTCTTTCTCTCTGTTCCTCCGATTAACAAGGCCGATCTGAACGAGCCGACCTTGGTTCCGGGATGTTGCAGGTTCCTGAACAAGAGCAGAAGCCAGGCGGCGATGATGGCCAGCAGGGAGCGGGAGCGGGAGCGGGAGCGGGAACGGGAGCGGGAGCGGGAGCGCGAAAGAGAACGAGAACGCGAACGAGAACGAGAACGCGAAAGAGAAAGGGAGCGGGAGAGAGAACGGGATCGAGACGTGGACGCGGAGGTCGATTCGCCCCTGTCGACGAGGTCACGGTACGCCGCGTTGAAGGAAAGAAGGCAACGGCTGGCTCGGTCCAGAAGCTCGCACAATTTCGGCGGAGATGACCTCGACCTGGACGAGGAGCCACCCTCTCCGACCACCCAGTCGCCGAACGCTTACTTGGCAGCCAAGTACGGTGCCGGGTCCGAACTGGCCAGGAGTCGGAGCACTCACGCTTTAAAATCGAGGGAGCCGAGCCCGGAGCGAGACAGAGTGGGCACCGAGAAGGATGGCGCTGCATTAAGTTCGTGGGCACGGTACTTGAAGAACAAGTACGGGAATCGCACGACCAAAGATAAAGAGCCTTCGTCCTCTGCCTCGACGATTCCATCATCGAGGTGAGAGACTGGATGGGAGGATTGTAAACGATCGAATTTTTCCTTCTTTCTTTCTTTCTTTCTTTCTGTTTTTTTTTTTTTTGGGAAACAGTGGAAGCACCTCGAGGAGGTTGTCGCTCGGTTTACCTTTGAGGCACGGTGGTCAAACGTCCTTCGAATCTTCTGACGACGATCAAAAAAACCCGTCAGGCTCCCCCACGTCCCCTACGGCAGCTCCCGTTATACCCGCGGCAGCAGGTTCCTCCACTAGGTGAGTTTAAAGTTCGTCGTATTTAAAAAATATATATATACGCAATATAAACAAACAGTAGGAAATTTTTAAATAAAAATTATCGAAATGAATAATTGAAATGCGACAGCAATGGGCGGAGGAGTCACTACTTGCTGAAGCGGCGGCAGCTGTTCAAGTTCGGGATGCGGGGGAGCGAACCCGGATGCTTTACTTGGCCCAGAGGCCTCGCGGTTGGCCCTGACAACTCCATCGTAGTGGCCGACAGCTCTAACCATCGTGTTCAAGTAATATATATATTTTTTCGAAAGAATATTTTCGCGGACAACAATTTCGTTGATGTATCCGAAATTTGACGCATATTGAAATTGGCACAGGTGTTCGACTGTAATGGGAACTTCGTGAAGGAGTTCGGATCGTACGGCAGCGGCGAGGGTGAATTCGATTGCCTCGCTGGGGTAGCGGTGAACAGGATCGGTCAATACATCATCGCGGATCGTTACAACCACAGAATTCAGGTTCTCGATCCTTCCGGTCGTTTTCTGAGAGCGTTTGGCTCCCAAGGTACCGCCGACGGTCGGTTTAATTATCCTTGGGGAATCACCACCGATGCTCTTGGATTTATTTATGTGTGCGATAAAGAGAACCATCGCGTACAGGTACGTGGCCTCGTTTCGTTAACGATACTTATTTTTCTTTTCATTATAATCCGGACGATTAATCCGACAAGTAAAGAGGAATACGTGAAACGGCAGCGTCGATGCGACGATACACGATACGCGCCCCTCGAACAATCTCTATATCGTCAGACTTCTTCACCTATATTGTACTGCGAACATACGATAATGATACAGATGATGATATGTGTTTAATTAATTACAGTGTTTAATTTACAGTCCCCCCATTCGATTCTTCCACTATGTGTACCTAGAATTTGTATAGTTTGATCCTTGAAATAAACGCCTAAAAAATTTTTTCTGCAATAAACGATTAATTTCGAGTAATTTCTCTGTTTGTATTTCCCAAACATCGATATACGAGATACGTGTGAGCCCAGCTACGAGAAACCTTCACAGTTCCTAAATAAAAAAAAATATGCGATCAAGTTAGCGGGAAAAAGTGGGAGAAGGGAAAATGGTTCTTACTTACCGAGGCACGGCGATATTCGACAATGGACGTAAGCGTGAGTGATTTACGAAAAGCGAAGCGAACTAAACTCCCCGACTTTTTTTTTTTTATTCATTTCTTTCCTCTTCTAATCCTTTTTTGCATAATCATTTTCGCATTATCGTAGGTAATAATATACATGTAAAATATGTACAAATAAGGTCTGTCATCTGCTAACGGTGTGTACGAGGTGTATCTTGGAAAAATAATCCAACAAAAAAAAAAGAAAAGAAAAAAAGCTGTAATCAAATTTTCAACGTAGAACGAATAATCCTTCTAACGAAATCGTTGCATAAATTAATAATAAACTTACAACGATTCGTCTCATCACAAAATACGTCTGTTTTCGCAGGTATTTCAATCGGACGGTACGTTCGTGGGCAAATTCGGTTCCTGCGGAAGCGGACGTGGCCAATTGGAACATCCTCATTACATCGCGGTGAGCAACACGAATCGCGTGATCGTGAGCGACGGGAACAACCATCGTATCCAGATATTCGACGTGAACGGTCGTGTGCTGACCTCGTTCGGATCGGAGGGCTCCGACGAGGGTCAGTTCAAGTTTCCAAGGGGTGTCGCTGTCGACGACCAGGGTTACATCGTCGTCGCCGACTCGGGCAACAACAGGATACAAATATTCAGCCCGGAGGGGGCGTTCCTCAAGTCCTTTGGCGGATGGGGTAGCGGTGACGGTGAATTCAAGGGTCTGGAGGGTGTTGCCGTCACATCGACCGGTAACATCGTCGTCTGCGATCGCGAGAATCATCGCGTTCAAGTGTTCTGACTTCGTTTTCTCGTTTTCGTTTTCGTTTTCGCGTCTTCTCTTGCGATTCACGCCATTGTCGAGCGACAATCGCGATCGATCAAGGATCAAGGATTTCGTTTCGAAGATCGATCATGGTCGAGGGATCAGGCAAGTATTTTCCCCGAAAATACTTTTGGGTGGAAAGGCGCGCTTCGACGATGAACGGATGAGACGTCACGTTAACCGCTTGCTTGCGTTAGGAATTTAATAAACGTAGCCTGTTTTTTCGCTAAGCTAATCTTCTTACGGGGAAGCCGTTCGATACCATCATATAATAACGAATTAACTTCGATTTCTTTTCTCTCCCAGGGAATATATATATTTGAATCGATTGGCAACAATTCTCCAATTTTATTCCGATGTATGATAATAATTTACCTCGTTAATATGTCGGGACGGAAAATCAATACTGGAACCGAGTAAAAACTCTCTCGGGCGTCGGTCGGATTTTAGCTTAAAGAGAAAAAAAACGGGATAAAAAAAAAAAAAAAAAAGAAAAAGGAATATCATTTACTTCTCTCTCGTCTTACACCCTTCCTCTCATTCTATCATCTTCCTCGTACGCACATCATATCCGCGTAATTTAATTTAATTTATATTCAAACATGACACACACATACAGTTTGTACCGTTTGTATGCTTTAAACAAATTGTTGCGGAAGTAATAAAAGAGAAATGAAGAAAAAAAGAAAAAAAAAAAAAAAAAAAAAAAAAAAAAA